TTTTTTTTTTTTTTTTTTTTTTTTTTTTTTACCCTTCCTAAAAAAGTGAATCTTTTTGTTTTCTATTCTATTATGTTGTAAATTTGTATATTACGCTTAGGTTTTCCTTTCCAAATTCTCGAGAAAAAACAAGCATTTATAAATTGTTTCCAATAGTGCCAATAGTGTCTGATGACCATATAAATCATTAAATAATTTTGATAAATGGTTAATAAGAAAATCAAGTTCGTTTTAATTGGAAGCTATATTGTTTCCAAAAATCCCCTCTTAATTTCAGATGTACACTTAAAACTTTAAAACGTTTCAAGTGACATTAATATTCTTTGTAAAAAAAAGTTTAAAAACATTATTACCGATAATTACTAAATTAACGCCTTATAGATTATTTTTAAATTCATTAATATTACTTTTAAAATACTAAGAGTATTTTTTTAGACATGGTGCTAACCGAAAATGTAATTTTTTTTATTTTATTAAAAAAGTTTGGTATTTTTAAAATAAAATGTTAATTGTTTTCATTTTCTTAAGAATTTTTTTTTAAATGACATTATTATCAATTTAGTCAAAAGAAAATGTAGGTCTCTCGTATTAAAAAAATTATTATCCTTTAATTTCATTTAAAATAAGAGAAGTAAAGGATGTTATTTCTGGTCACTAAGTAAAGGATGTAGAAATGGTTCTCGTTACCTGAATTTTCCTTCATTTTCCTTCATTTTCCTTCCTTTTTCTTGTTCGGTATATTGGCGGCTTCTTTCCTTTTCCCACCTTTCCACTCTCCCTCGATCCAATGCTTCAGACCACAGCTCATCTGTGCGCTCATCTCTCCACTAACACTACAATTTCTGCATAGACCTAGCATCTCCTTACTTGCCTGCGTTTGTTCTCAACTGTTGTGTTTGGATTGTCTATGCTCGAGTGGGATCACAGTTTCGTTTCTGCCTACGAGAATTGTCACAAGGAAGTTTGATCTTCTGTGTTTTTGTGTGTGCTACCGGCGGGATCCAATCCAGGGTGGACTGATATGGATCAGTTCGACGCTTTCTTTCGGAGAGCCGATTTGGATGGTGATGGAAGGATTAGTGGAGCTGAAGCTGTCGCTTTCTTTCAGGGCTCCAATTTGCCTAAAAATGTTCTCGCGCAGGTTCCCTTTTTCACTCTATACTCCCTCTGTCACTCTTTCTTATTCGGATTTCGCATGGGTTATTTATCTTAGATCAATGGTGTTCATGTACTTGTATTAGGTTGCGAATTCGAAATCCATAAATTGTTATTTTTTCACAGCATTACTTTGTTTCTCGGTTTTAAAAAATGAGTGTCTTCGCCTCGTGGAAGGGTGTGTTTGTGAGTTAGGTGGTTACCAGTATCTTCTAGGAAAGTTCTGGTGTTTAATTTCCTATCTAAAGTTTTTCCTTGAGGTTTTCCTTTTTAATTTTAATTTTATACCCCTTGAAATCTAATATTCAGATATAATTGTCACATATTCCATCGTCAGACCTGTGATTGAAATTTATAACTTCCCCATGAGATTGAATTGACAGCATTTGTGCACTTCAATTTTGTGATGTGGCCAACGGATGCTGATTTAGTCCGTTTGTACAATACAAGCTTTAACAGTATTGTATCTGTATTCTGTTTCAGCCACTGGTATTTATAGTCTTTATTGAAGCTATTATGTTGAGAGGCTTGTCCTCTTACTTCATCCTCCTCTAATAACTATCTAACGATATAAAAGATGATGCCTTTAATTGTTGCCATTGTCAACTGGCACCACTTAATAAGAAATGCTAACATGCTTACAAATCTGTCTTTCTGGAAATTGTTTTGCCAATCTAGGTTATCTTCTTTACTTGCAGATATGGATGCATGCTGATCAGAGAAAAACAGGTTTCCTTGGTCGACTGGAATTTTATAATGCTCTCAGACTCGTAACTGTTGCTCAAAGTAAGCGCGAGCTAACACCTGAAATTGTTAAGGCAGCACTATATGGTCCTGCTGCAGCGAAAATCCCCCCACCAAAGATTGATCTTTCGGCTGTATCTGTCACTCAATCAACTTCAGTGACTGCTGCATCTCCTCCACAGATGAGTATGCCTGCGCCAACGGCACCTCAAAATTTTGGCTTTAGGGGACAAGGGGTTCCAAACGTGGGTGTGAATCCGCAGTATGTTTCAGCCCAGCCAAATCCTTCCATGAGGTTACCTCAAGGCACACCTGGTGCTGTTGCTTCCAACACGCAACTGGTTATTGCTGCTTCTGAATCCTCCGGAGGAGGAAATGTACTGGGTTCAAATCTTCCAAACCCAAATGGTTGGCTCACGCCAGGTGGTGGCCCTGCTGCTGGGCCTAGGGGAGTTAGCCCTTCTGTGCCTTCCCCAGCTACATCGTTATCACCAGCTTTAATGACTTCACAGTCTATGCCTAATAATACAGCACCAGCTGTTACTGGTAACGGATTTGCTTCTAAGTCGGCATTTGGTGCTGACATGTTTTCTGTTACTCCATCTCCACCTAGACCTGAATCTTCTGGACTCAACAATGCAGCCAATAATGGTACTGGTCCATCAGCGATTGTTGCAGGTTCCAGTGTATCCCAGCCTTTAAGTAAGCACAACTCCATGGAGTCATTGCAGAGTGCATTTGTTTCAAGACCAATATCTGATTCACAGTTGCAGCTCTCTCAGACATCATTGGAACCTAGCAAGGAGGTTCGAGCAACCAGTCCATCACCACTTATATCTTCTGGGATCACAACTGGAGCCAGGAACTCTACTTCTGAAAATACACAGCTTACTTGGCCAAAAATGAAACCAACTGATGTTCAGAAGTACACAAAAGTTTTTATGGAAGTAGACACTGACAGAGATGGTAGAATTACCGGTGAGCAGGCACGGAATCTATTTTTAAGTTGGAGATTACCTAGAGGTATAGACTTCCTTTGTTCTTTTATTTTTTAATGTTTAATTTTTAGATCTAGAATGTAATCTCACTTAGTAGATGAAGCACAAGTTACTTATTTCAAGCAGCAATCAAGCAATTTAGGGTTTCCTGTTTCTCCTGTTTATGTATCACACAGAAAAAAGGGGAAATGAACATATGTGCTCAATGAATATGTTTAAAGTTATGCTACAAGTTTAGAGGTTATGGTTGTTTTCACCTTGATATACAAAAAGATTTAGCATTGCCTTTTACTCAACGACTCTTTTTATATTGTGCATTTAGATACAATTTGAGTATTTGCAAACATATTTGCTTTCTAATGTAATACCATGAAGATAGTTTTAGCTTAAGAAATTGGCTTATACTTTTCTGTAATCCCTATGAAGTTATGCCCATGTCCTGATTTCTCCTTGTTTCACTGAAGCTCTTGTAAATTTGCTTTTATGAATATCCTTTTAATTTGTTATAACACTTGAGCCATGTTTCATATTCTCAGAGGTCTTGAAGCAGGTGTGGGACTTATCTGATCAAGACAATGACAGCATGCTTTCTCTTAGAGAGTTTTGTTTTGCTTTATATCTCATGGAACGTTACAGGGAAGGTCGACCTCTTCCAGCTGTGCTTCCAAGTAATCTTATGTTTGATGAGACTCTGTTGTCCATGACAGGACAATCTAACATTGTCCATCCGAATGCAGCTTGGGGTCCTCGTCCTGGTACTTACCAGAGTTGTTAGCTGTGCTTATTTTCTTTTGCCCTCTTTTTCTCTCATTTTTGTATTTTTATATAACTTTTCCTCCGTTGAAATTAGGATTTGGACAGCAGCAACCTCAGGTCACTGCTCGGTCAATGGCACCAACTGTAGGATTGAGGCCCCCAACAAATGTACTTGCTTCGAAGGTCGATGGTGCTAAACTATCCAATGAGCAGAAATCAAGGGCTCCAGTGTTGGAGGATTCATTTCTGGACGATTCTGAGAAGGGCCAACAAAATTCGGCTAGTTTAAATGCTCAAGATGCTACAGCAGCATCTGGGAAAATGGTATTTCCTTATATCTATCTGCTAACTTTCATGACCTTTCTTTGGAGAGGACCTAGTTTTTTCTTGTTGTGAATGTGGAATTCCATTACTTGCTTGTTGATGGGTTCTATTTTTTTACTCTTTTTAAAATTTCCCCTTAATATCTTTTCTTTTCTTGTTTTCCTCGTGAATTCATGGTTAACATGTTTTCACCTGCTATGTAGCATTATTCTCTCTAATGTTTCTTGTTTCATCCTTGATAGGTTGGAGAGACAGCGAATGTTATTTTGGACTCAAAAGAAAAGATTAAATTCTATCGCACGATGATGCAGGAAATTGTAAGTACTCTTTGTTGCTCTTTGCTCTCAGTTTCTTAATAGTATGTGTTCAATACGCAATTCCTAGTATTAGTTTACTTCTACAAATTTACACATATTTTTTTTTTCTTTATATTGTGTGCCAATAATGGTTACTCAAAGGCTAGAACGGGTATAATTGTATAGTAGTCATTAGCTCTGTATGAGTTCACAACTAGATCTAATCACTTAATTTTAAAACATGTAAGTTTCTGAATAAATTTGATTTAATAAATACTCCCTTTCTAAGCACCTATCTATGACTGACAGTCATGAACCACCCAATCCACTTGGCATTCCCATGTTTGGTGCAATGAAAACTACTTTGAGCATGTTGATATGTCATTTCCTTTATTTTTCTTTGCCAGAATTAATTGAATTAAATTGCAGTTCAGGAACGTTGAAGATTTTTATTTTATTTTTTATTAGAAGAAAATATTGTCCGACCGTATATCCATCGCTGCAGATATTTAAGAAAATTTTGTTTCTTCTGCACTAAATTGGCAAAAAATTGCTAACTGACTTTTGATCCACAAAACTCCGGCTTTGACCTTGAATTTCTGAATTGAGCCAATTGAACCAAGATGAGTCAATGATGCTAGGGAGGCAGCACTCTGACATTCGAAGCAAAATTAATCAGTCTGCCAAGTATATCATGCAAAAGCGCAATGAAAAGGGAGATGATTCTAATCTTCAATCCAATCTTTGCATAAAATAGGCCAGTTTGGAGGGAGGTTGCATTAGGGATAGGGTGTTTTTTCTGGTTTTATCACTCTAACAAATACTATTTAGATGAAACCTTTCACTTTTTGGGTATTTTAGGACTCCTTAAAAATTTAGTAATGGGCCTGGGAATAATCTCCACATTATTCATGAGGGACCATATATTGATTTACTGAAAAAACTCCCTGTTTTATCTCATGCTCAAGTTCTGCCATCAGCATCAGAAATGGGTTTTTAACTCCATCAAAATATCTTTTAGAGCTGTGATGTATAAAAAATACTCCAAGATTTTATCCAAAGAAACGTATATTTGAATACAATAGCCAAAGGGACAATTTATAGAAGTAAAACAACTAGGTTTAACCCCACAGTAAACCAACCAACTTAACCAAACAAACCAAATATCAGTCTCTTTGTTTAAGACAATAACTACAAGCAGCCCCTACATCAAGTTGCCCATTCAACTGCTTCGCTATCATTGAGGATCCTTCTAAATCTAAGGTCCCGGGCATTCTTCCTGGAGTCCACAACACCTGGATGTCTCTTTGTTTCGTGTCAAGAAGTCAATCAGTCTTTTCAAACCTCTATTTCTCTACCATGTTCCAACTTGAATCTGACTCCCTGAACAGAGACAAATTAACAGCATGCTCTGTTAGGCTATGGGCTTCTTTTTCTTTTGGAGTTTTAATTGTTGAACCAACCATAGGATCCCACTTGAACATACTCTATACGACCTTCTAATTTGGGCTTGATTGCAATTGATGACTTGATTCAGAGATGGAGACTTATACTCGCATTGAGGGTGCTCAAGTTCTAACTTGGACTTAATAGATCTTTTTTTCTCCCATTTTCGGGTTTTATTATTGTGCACCCATGAATTTTTTCATTTTTTCAATGAAAGCTCGGTTATTCATTTTTTTTTTTTTTTAAAGAGTGGCTCGAATAGAATTGTTAGGCCTGAAGTCCAGGCAAATATCTCAATACCACAATTTGGCCCATAGATCGGGGATGGGTGTGAGCCCTTATCTTGGGGCTTCAGCGTAAATGCTAAATTTGTTCAAAAATATTTTCTGAGTATTTTCTTTTACGCGTGTAATTAGTTCCATGTAATAATTGTCTTCTTCTTTTCAGGTTCTACATAAGAGCAGATGTAATAATAGATTAAATGAGATCACAGAAAGGGGATCTGCTGACAAGAGTGAGGTATTTTCTATTTCTTTTTTTTTTTTTTTTTTTTTTTTTGGGTTCGTTAAATTTAAGTTTTCTTCGCACTATGGCTTTATATTGCAGGCAGAATCCTTAGGAAAGAAATATGAAGAGAAGTACAAGCAAGTGGCTGAAATAGCATCTAAGTTAACCATTGAAGAAGCAAAATATCGTGATGTTCAAGTAAAAATCCACCTCTTAAAACTGTACTTTGATTTTGTACCTGAATTCATCTGCTTCTTCTCCAACCTTTTTATTGCATCTACTAGAGCTGGCTGGTTAATCGTATCGTGGCTGTCAATATTCAGTGGTTAACCAGAAAGTTTCTTTATCTTGATTCATTATCCTTATCCAGCTATCTCTTTTTCTTTTTCTGGAAGTTGCTAGTATTCATCATTGATACTAATCGTTTAATTGATGAAAAATGAGAATTTGAATGCAGTATATTATTGGTAGTTAATAGAATAGCTGCAGTGGATCACTTACCATATTCATAAACCACTGTTTGTCCTATTTAAAAGTAAATTACAGTTCTCTTTTAAATTATTCTCATTCTTAAAGTAAACAACTAAAAAAACAAGTCAAAGGAGGCCACTTTATTTTGTTTTCAAGTTCCTTTATTTATCAATTCTTGATATAAGGATATTTTTTTACCTCATATTATTTCATTCATATGCGTGTCTATGTTAGTGTATATGTGATTTTGCGCAAAAAAAGGAAGTACATATGATGCATTTAAATGGACTTAATACAAAAAGTTGGCGCATACAATCAATCAATATTATTCATTTATAGGCGTGTTAACCGAACTTAATTAAATACACAAATTTCATGAAGTTTGAGTTTACAATATGCAACTTTTTTTAGGGAGAGTTGATTGGGTGCACGTGCATCTAATCAATGAAAGAAAACCATAAAAGTTTACATTGCTTGATAACCAGAAAAGATGCAGGCTGGGCAAAATGATCATTTTAAGCCACATGGCCATATGCTTACCCTTCAGGAAACAAATCTTGACCTTAGCCGCATTTGAGTTTTGTTGTTTCATTTGTGGTTTTACATTCCCCTATTATTTGACATTCTTCCAGGAAAGGAAGACAGAGTTGCATCAAGCAATTATTAATATAGAACAAGGAGGAAGTGCTGATGGTATCCTCCAGGTCTGATTTTTCTAGATAGCTGCGTGCTTCAGTTTGCCAACGGCTATCCTGTGCAGTTGTCCGATACTGATTCTTTTCTGCCTCTTCAGGTCCGAGCTGATCGAATACAATCTGATATTGAGGAGCTCATAAAGGCTTTAACTGAACGTTGTAAGAAACATGGATTTGATGTTAAATCGGCTGCTATAATCGAGCTTCCAGTAGGTATTAGCCTCACATTAGCCTGGGATTTGTACTTTTGCATCTTCTATCTAGATTCCTTTTGGATGTGCTTTCAAATATTTCTTTTAATCATATCACTTCCTTTCAAGGATCTTCTCTTTATTTATTTTTTATTTTTTTTAAAAGTTGTCTACGAAATGTTTGGTACATTTTGTTCCTGTACAGATTGTATATCATTTGTGGCATGATATGATCCGTTCACGTCTGAAGTGACTTGATGTATTTGGTTTCCATTAATGACATTTTTCATGATGGATTTGTTAGGTTGGCAACCTGGAATTCCGGATGATGCAGCTATTTGGGATGAAGAATGGGATAAATTTGAAGATGAAGGTATAAAAGTGGTTCTTGACAAGTTATTTGCTTCTCTGCACTTGCAATGTTGCAGTTTTTGGTCTCAATTCATTGCCGGCATACTTTGACTGGTAATTTGATGGAAATACATCATATGTTTTGTTGATATCAGTTAATTAATATACCTTTCAGGATTTTCCAATGATCTTAACTTCGATACAAAAGGTGTTTCTGCCTCAAAACCAAAAATGTCAGAAAGTCAGGGAGAAAAGGGTCTAGCAGATTATAATTCGACTCCTGATTCATCGTCAAATGCCAATGAGAAAACAGGGAACTCCTTGAGTACCATCAATCATGGCCTTGAGAGTGATTCTGTGTATAGTCACAGCGAAGATGAATTAGCTAAAAGTCCATATGGCAGTCCTGCTGCAAAAACATCTCTCGAAAGCCCTTCTCATGAATTTTCAGATGCAGGTTATGAAAAGAGTTCGGAAGCATATAGGTAATAACGAACTCATAATTTTTTATACTTGTAACTTCATGCAGCTCTTTCATTCATTGGTCTTATTTATTTTATGGTTCTCTGTTTTTTTTATGGCCTCAGAAATTTTAATGAGTCCGCTTGGGGCGCATTTGACAATAATGATGATGTGGACTCAGTTTGGGGAATAAAACCAGTTAATACCAAGGTGAGCTTGAAAATTAGATTTTTTATGTTGCCTTTCTGGGTTTGGTAGATCTAGAGTTCTATTTGGGTTTATTATAGAAAACTATTTTTTTCAAAAGAAAAAGATCTCGAGTATAATCATTAAAGATTTTTTCTCTCTTGCTTTTGAAAGTACTGTGGATATAGTATTTTTGTTTCTGTTTACAGTTTGTTTCATATATTAAATTATTTCACTGATGAACATTATGAAAACTTAAAACATCATTCAACGATTTATAGAGAGTCTTCTTTTTTAAGCGTGTAAGAAGGATAAATAGCAAAAATTGTTTCATTGGCTATAATTTTCCAGAGGAGACCTCTTGAAGCTTGAATGCTCAAGTAAAAAAAAGAGAGAGAGAGAGAGAGAGAGAGAGGGAGGGAGCCGGAGAGAATAAAATTTGTTCATGAACATGCTCTTGGTCTTTTCATGTTCCCATCTGTTCTCCGAGAATTGCATGCATGCCCTTGTATTTCATTTTAGTAAAAGCAATGATGTGGAACATGGTATGACTTAGAAGTAGTTCAGTTTTTTTCATTTTAAAAGGTAAATTGTGGTAGAGATATGCCTACTGGTCCTCCCCTTCCAAAATTAAGGGTGCTGTGGGCACCGAAGTATAGCCATGTTAGATCTGTTTTTAGGACTCATTCTGCATCCTGGGTGGTAATTTCTAAGATGATGGAATATTGTTCAAAATAGACAGTTATCTGATAAGTTATGTTGCTGAAGAATTTTAGATGTTTAATCCTGGTAGATGAACTTTCGATCAATAGTTGATTGGTAGATAGTCATTGAAAATAACTGGAGTGTTAATTGTACTTTCCTCCATCTAGTCGGGATGAGATTGCCAGTTTGGCTTTAAAAAATTTATAATGGGGAACGTACTGATTTAATTGTAAAGGTTACATGCAGAAGAGTCATTATGACGGATGCTTTTAACCTGCCGAGTGTCTGGGTTGCTGATTTTACACGTAGTTCTGTTATTGCTCAATTTGAGATCATGGTTGTCCATGATGTTCTCTCCAATTCCAGTGTCATGTTGATTGCATATGGGATTTCAGCCATGCCACAAAACACTTACTTCTCTCTTTTTATTTGTTGCGATCACACAGGAGCCAGACTCTGAAAAGCACAGAGATTTCTTTGGAAACAGTGATTTTGATACTAGCTCCGTCAAAACAGGATCCCCGAATGCAGATAGCTTCTTTCAGAGAAAAAGCCCATTTTTTGATGATTCTGTCCCTCCCACTCCCCTCTCTAGATTCGGCAACTCTTCCCCTCGTTACAGCGATGTGGGGGATCACTTCTTTGACCATTCCTCCAGGTTTGATTCTTTCAGCATGCAGGATGGCAGCTTTTCTCCGCAACGTGAGAAGTTCACGAGGTTCGATTCAATAAGCAGTTCTCGAGATTTTGGCCACAATCAAGAGAAGTTCTCAAGGTTTGATTCTATGAGTAGTAGCGTGGACTTCGGCCAGAGTAGCCAGAGGCACGCCAGGTTTGACTCCATTGACAGCTCCAGAGATTTCGGCCACGGCCATGGCGCCTTCTCTTTTGATGATACAGATCCATTTGGTACCTCTGGCCCGTTTAAAGTCTCATCAGAGAGTCAAAGTCCGAAGAAAAGCTCCGACAATTGGAGAGCTTTTTAAGCATCAGAGATCCTGTTTGAGTTTACATTTGAATCGATTCTCTTGTTTTCCCCCACTTTGACTTGTTCATTATAATGAGCCGTGTGCCATTTTATCTGCTTTTATGGCTTGGAAGAACATGCGTTGGATGGTCATATTTTTGTATGTTGTGGTGGTGGTTTATGTATTTATTTCAGACATTGTCTATGTTGATGACATGCTTTGAAAAAGAAAACACGCTTCTCTTGGTTCTCTTTTGGGGGCAAGTTAGATGCAAGATCGCGCATGCATTTGCACGCCCACAATGTGTTGCCTCGAATAGATGATACTTAAGAAAGGCAGATTGATGAGTTATTCTAGCTGTTGTAAACAGAGCCAAATTGGCGAAATATTCCTTGCATTTGTTATGAAAGACACAATATTTTGAAGATGTAACAAGCAAAGCAACTCTGAAATTCTTTCAAATACATTTCTGCTCCCAACTCTAAAGAACAAATTGAGTTAAGGATAGCTTATATCCATTATTTCGTCTATAAGTCTTCGAGGTGAATCCTATTATCCAATCGCTCTGATACCTTCTCAATTACGACCATGTCAGAAGCACAACAACCGTGTCAATTTGTTTTGTAAAAAAGTGAAATATAAATAACCATCGCCTGCCTCAGGTAGAGATCAATACAATGGCATAGTGCACCAAAAATGTAAATTTGCGTTAGAATTAGAGTTTGGATGACGTAGAGATCGATAACCATCGCCTGAAAAGTTGGGGACAATTGCAATACTTCCATCGATGGGCCATTATCCGAGTCCCCATTATGGGCACTATTTGGACCTCAATGGGCTGAAGGCCTGTAAGTGGGAAGACTGCAATTTAGACTCGGCCCTGTACTTCTTGAGTCAAGCCCATAGATTCGTCAAGCCCATAGATTCGTCAAGCCCATAGATTCGTCAAGGAGACCGCCATTTTCTTGCTTCGTTTTGTTGTCATTTCAGATTAGCAAATGTTTGGAGAAGCTCTGGAGGAGATCGGAGATCGGAGAGAGGTGAAAATCAGGACTTGGATCGGACCAAGCGTAAACGACGATGAAATCCAACGCGTGGGTTCTATTGTTAATGGCGATCTACTTCGGTGTTGTCAATTGCATTGATGACAAATGCGCCGCTTGCAATGCCGTTGCCGTAAGTTCTTGTTCTTAACAATTCTCTGTTCCCCTTTGGATTATTTTTGTTGTTGTTTTTTTTTTCTTTTTTGTTTGGTCTCCGAATCGTGAAAGTCCTTCATCGTTTTGCATATTTTTATGTGGCGCGTGCCTGAATCTGATCACTGTCTTTTACTGTTTTTGGATTGGCTTTTACTTTCTAGTCATCCTTCTCTGTTGCATTGTCTTATAGTTTGGTTTCAACTTAGTTGTATGTGTTCCTTTTCTTTGGTGGATAACTTCATTTTCTTATTGGATGTCTAAGTAATTTCTCTTGCTAATGCTGAATTGATCGTAATCCCGCTTAGCATCGCTAATGCTAACTAGTAGATATACGAAAGGGGACCTAACTTCCGTAATTATTGTTCGCAGGAAGAGATAGAACGTGGACTTTCCAATGTAAGGCGATGTTCCTTTCTATAGAAAAATTCAACCACAGTTTTAGACGGTTTCTAAGTGTTATAGTGGGGCTCCAATAACCAAAAAGTAATTACATGTTTAACTAGGAAAAACCGAGGAATCATTTAGATATGAGACATCGGTTGGATTCTAAAGGTCAGCGTAAGGGGAAGGTGATTGACTACAGGTAAAACACCAACCTCCCGATTTTCAGGCTGCTCTTTTTCCCTTGGCACGTTTAGAACATTTCTTATTAATATGTAACAAAATGCAGCGGTGATAATGGATAGATGAACTGTTTAAATAGTTCAGTAGTAATATATGTTGGGCTGACATCTATGGGGGGAAGAGTAGCTTGTAGAAAGGCCGGTAAATGAAGAAGGTGATATCGATACTGTTAAAATTCCAAATAGTCGCGCAGTTAATAATGTTTGATATCAATTACGCAGAACAGAGACTGTTATTAATATGAAGCAAAATTTTCTTGTACAATTTCATTACTGGATAAAGAGTCGCAATAATTCTGATTTTAATTGCTTGAATTATTTTGAAATCTTACTTTATTATTGAGATACAGACGTATAGTTCAATTTATGATTTTAATGTGGTAAACATTAAAGAACTCTTTACGTGTTAAAGGTTATTAAAACTGATTATTCTTAGTTACAGTTTTCATATTTGTAAATTGTAAGCTTAAATTTCTGCAGGGTCAGTGAGCTAAGAGTTGTTGAACTCCTGGACGGGCTTTGTGAAAAGATGCAAGATTACACTATCGAGAAGGTACTTCTCTTTGAAATTAACTATTTGATCTTAGTTGGATTGGACTCTAGAAGATTGGTTAATTTCTGACAGTCGGGGGGCTTATTTTGTGAGATAATTGTTTCATCTGTTCTTGGTGCAGACAGATTCAACTGGAAAACAGTGGATCAAAGTGGATGACTGGGACAACTTGACAAGTGTGTGGCAAATTTAAGCTTCTATTTTTCAATGAGTTCCTACTCAATAAACCTATGTTTCTTTTGTTTTTGTTTTTGTTGTTTGTTTATTTGTTTATTTGTTATTTTTGTTATTGTTGTTGTTGTGTGTGTGTGTGTTTTGGCTACTGAAATTGACACTTGAAACTTTTACTCCAGTTGTTGAATGTTTGATAGCTAACTATCGTGCACTTGATGCATAACAAGAATCACAAGTGGCCTGGACTGAATTTATTTAGATCTTGGTCATTCTCCAAATTCACTTTCTTGTAGATGACTGATATTTATAGCTTGCTGCGTTTGCATATGAAATTCTTTTTGCTTGTTTGTTATAATGCAAACATTTATTTGCTTTCATTGTAACAGATAAACAAGAAGCTCGGGCTTATTCAAAAGATATATCAACTTATTGTGGGAGGTGAGACTGTATTTTGTGATGATTATTCAGCGATTATAATTAAGCTGGTTCATTTAGATTTATGATTTTCCCAATCTAATGTTGTTGTTTATTATCGAAACAGATTATTAGAGGAAACAGAAGATGATGTAAGTTGACATGTTTGCCTATGAATAATTTCTTTTTCTTTTAATTCTTTTTTCCCTCTCAACAGATCTAAGCAATTTCTTGATATTGATGAACCTGCAGTTGGCAGAGTTGATTAAGAAAGGATCTGTCAGACCAGGTGCTGTTAGCAAAGTACTATGCCATGATTTGAGCAGGCATTGCAGCAAGGCGAGGTAACTCTTAATTTGCTGTTCGTGAACCTCTGAAAAGTGCTTTTATATCAATTTCAAATGTTAATTTGACTATGAAGTTGATCTTGTGATAAAAATGTTCATTCTGCACTGATTAAAGAATTAGTTATTGTAGTACTTAACTGCTCCATCAAAATAGTTCTCTTAGGTCTATTGGATAATGAATTTGTTTTTAGTTCTGTTTTTTAAATTTATGTTTGTTCCCTCTTAATTTCAACACTGTGGTTTTCACATTTCTTAAAAGAAATATTTGAATTCTAAGGCCTAGCTTGGTTTGTTCCCTTTCTAGTTTTGAAGACCTAGCTTGGTTTTTGAAAACGATGGTAGAAAGTGGATAACAAAATAAATGAACTTATAGGTGAAAGTGAGTTTAATAAGCTTAGTGTTCAAAAAATCTAAAACTAAATGTTTATCAAAGGGAGCTTTAACTACCTCTTTCGATTATTGATTTCAAAATAAGTATTGGTGGATTTAGAAAGCAGAACAAGCGTTATTTTTAGAACATCTAAAATAATGATATGTAACCTAAAGTACTTTTTATATAACAGTGACCTATGAATTTAACCTACCTCAGAGTCTAGATGGCGGTTCCTATTTGTGATAAAGACGAAAACCATAGCCACTGTTTTAGATTACGTTTTCCTTTTCGTCATTTGACCATTTTGGCAGATTTGTGAAATATTATAGTTTCAATACGTAATAAACAGTTGCCACCTTGTTTGTGTAAAGCAGTGTTCAGCTGAATGACGATGATGATGAAGCAGATGGGGAGCTATGAAAAGATAGGTTTGAGAGAGGAGCTATAAACCATGCAACAGTTAGCTTGTTTTCAAATCAGGAGATATGTGCTACACGCTTATTTTCTTGTATAACAGTTAAACTTTGATTGCACTTTCAATTTTTAATTTTGATAGAGGACTCAGAGGATGGGGTGATGCTGACTTAAAAGCTTCAGATTGATGTTTTGTGTAGTAAAGCTTAGGGACTCGAGGTAGGCTTCATTAAGCTAAACGATCCGGAAGTAAAACTAACCATTTATAATAAGGGCATAACCTCGAAATTCACATGCCAGCCATTTGTCTACTGTTGATGGGATTTTCTGCATGTTTTTCATACTCTGAAAGATTAGGTGAAAAATGACGATCTGGCGACTTGGTTTCTCAAGTGCGACTTGGTTTTTCAAGTGCTCTTTGCTCAGAATTCATAAGCTAGATGCTTGAAATTATGTGAGATGACGCAGTCCAGTCCTTCGGCATGACATTTCTCTTTTTGATTACCAGGAAATAATGCTTATGAAGGGTGATATAATGACCAACTTGATGCGTCCGAAGAAATCGGCGTCGACCACAAACAACGTAGGTTTTTTTTTTTTTTTTTTTTTTTTTCCCC